AGAGTGAAGCTAGCTGGGAGGACTCCAAAGATCTATGGCAGTTCCAATCTAAGTTGGCCGAATACCACTGCAGCGAGGATGTTGCAAATCAGGTAGGGGAGTTTGTCCCGACCCTGTAATTTTTGCCAAAGCTTCACATGGGTCGGGACTCCACTAGATAGCAAACAGAGTTCAATTTTGGCCGAACCAGCAGGAATCAGAAATTTCGAAAAAGCCCACCAACTTTCGGGATTCTGCATGGGAAATAAGTTTGGGCGGGAGTTGTGCAAAAGGAGATGGAAATGCATTAAATGGATTCAGACATTTGCAGGAGCCACTCAAGTAACCACTTGGAGGTTGACTTGTCAACATTTGCTTCTGATTGGCCGGATTTAGCAAACTGGGACGCGATTGGAGGAAGTTTAAATTCCAACGGCTTTATGCCAATTTGTAAAAGGGTTCAATGACCCCTTTGAGCTAGTTGAACTTATAGGCATTTAATGCTTCCCCAAAGTTTCACATCTGATTGTAATTTAATAATTAGTTTTTTGCATGGGCGGGAGAATTGTATAGAGGAAATTGCCACCTTCCTTAACTTGAAAAATTTTGGTCGGTTTAGGAGGATTCCGACACTTGGGAAGAAAAAAAAATCGGAAATCACTTGACTCTCAACTCTCTCGTTTCTCTTTGTTTTCTTTTCCTTCTCTGTTTTCATTCAGGTTTCTGTGTCTTTGATTTTTCCATGGCTTCACTGGAAACCCAATGAGAGAAAGTGAGTGAGAGTATGCGACGAAGGCTGAAACTTGCGAAGACCAATGGTCTGTTTCAGAAAGGGAGAGAGACGTTGGTTTTCGTGGTTGCCCGGCGTGTGTCGCTTGCCTTAGATCGGGATCGGTTGGGCGGTGCAGGCGGGGCGCCACACATGGCTACACCCCTAGATGATACCATATGACCAAGATTTCCACTTCTTTTTGTCCAAAAGAACATTTGGATAATTTGGCAAACAAAGAACGTTGCTGTAATAGCTCTAATACCATAGCAAGATAATGTAGATGATAATGCCAAGAGGAACTATATACGAGAATATCATCAAAGAACACCAAGACAAATTTGCGGAGGAAAGGTTGAAATACCTTGTTCATGAGAGCTTGAAAAGTTGCTGGAGCATTTGTGAGTCCAAACGGCATGACTAACCACTCATATTGACCTTATGAGTGCAAAGGGCAGTTTTGTGTCTATCCTTCTGTTTAACTAAAATTGATGATAGCCTGACTGAAGATCAAGTTTTGAAAAAAATTGAGCACCATGTAATTCATCCAATAATTCATCAACTGTAGGTATAGGAAAACAGTCTTTAATCGTAACAGCATTCAAGGCCCTATAATCAGTACAAAATCTCCAAGTACCATCCTTTTTTTTAACTAACAGAATTGGAGATAAAAAAGGACTGGAACTTGGTTGAATAATACCCTCTTTTAACATCTGTTTTATCATCTTTTCAATCTCATTTTTCTGATTATGCGGATAACGGTAAGGCTTAACTCTAACTGGAGTAGTGCCTGTTATAAGAGGAATAGCATGGTCTGATGCTCTCGTAGGTGGTAAGCCTTCAGGTTTGGCAAACACTTTGCTATAAGTATGTAGCAATTTAACTAATTCAGGTGCTAAGTCATTAGGGAGATCCAATCGATGATCCTCAAGATTATTACTGGATTGTAATTGAATTGTATAAATTTCTGAAATAGCATTTGTACACTACATTCTCCAAAGATGATGTAATTGAACTAAAGTAGGACCCTTGCTAGAATCTCCATATAATGTGATAAATTTTCCATCCAAATAAAACTTGATTGTCAAAGTACTGTAATCAGAAATATGAGGGCCTATAGTAGACAACCAAGCAGTGCCTAAAATTACATTAGCACCTGCTATTGGTAACAAATAAAATGGTAATTGCACTTGATGGCCTTGAATGGAGAGGAACAACCGTTTAATTTGTCCTTCTGCAGTCATATATGTACCATTACCAACCAGTACTTGAAATTAGGTGCTGGTTCAATCGGTAGATTCAAACAATTAGCAATCCTTGGTTGAATAAAATTGTCAGAGCTACCACTATCCAGCAATACACAAACTTGCAGACCTTGGATGAGCCTTTAAACTTTATAGTACCAATTCCTTGAGCTCCCTTAAGGGCATTATAGGAAAGATGATCATAAGAAAAATTGTTATTGATGGTATCAGATGAAATGGCTGGGGAATCATCTAGACAGGTACTAGTTTCTTCATTGTCCTCAGAGAGAAGAATGTATAGATGTTTGTTGGGGCATTTATGGTTAATTGAAAACTTTTCATCGCAGTTATAACACAAATCCTTTTCTCTTGGATTTGCATTTCTGCAGGAGTCATTTTTTTAATAACTGGATGTTTGGATGTTGATGGTGTTGGCAACAAAGGAGGCAAGGTAGATTCATTAGTAGTTACATTAGAGGTCTGTTGAAAAGCAGAAGGGTTCTTAACAGGATGGTTGATGGAAGGAATATATGTAGGTTTGGTTTGTGGATAAGATGAAAGTGGTTTATGTTTTTCTTCAAAAAGCTTAGCTAAAGCTACAGCTTTAGAAAGGGATACAGGAGAATGTGCCACCACTTCATTTCTAAGCTTAGGTTTAAGGCCACTAATGAAGCAGTCCACCATAGCTTCTGGACTGACTCCAAAAACTCTATTAGCCAAGGACGTAAACTGTAAATAATAGTCAGTGACGGTATCAATTTGATGAAGTTTAAACAAGGTAGCTCTAGGACAATCAAATTGAGAAGGCCCGAATTCAGATTCAATTGCACTAACTAGAGATGACCAATTGGAAAATTGTTCATTTTTATTCAAAAGCTGAAACCATGGCACAACATCACCTTCGAAATGTACAGCCGCAATGGTGATTCTTTGAATATCCGAATTTGATAATATTCAAAAAATTGTTCAGCTTTAAAGATCCATTGTAATGGATTAGAACCATCAGACTTAGGAAAATCCAACTTAACATTTTGCACCTGAAAAGGAAAACGATGATTCACCGAATCTGGAGTTGCCTTTAAACTTGAATTTGGCACTCTGGACACACTAGGTGATGAAGATAAAGGATTTTTTTCTTTGTTGGGCTGTATAGCCTCAACTGTTTTAGTAAGAGCAACAAGACAACTTTCCAGGCGATCGAAGCGATTTGTATGCTGCTGATCATGCAATTCTATATTTTTCTCCAAACGATCAAAACGATTCTGTACTGCTCATCTCGTAACTCTATTGTCTTAGAAATTCTTTTAAGTTCAGCAGCTAACTTTTTGTTCTTGTTCCGTCAGCCATGCAGATCAATGAAAGCACCAAATGTAACAATTCAGCCAAATTCTGCTCAGTTTTATTCAAACTAGTTCTCGTACAAAGTAGAATTGAATATCAAAAAAGAAGAAACAGGGAAAAAAAACAGAGAAGAAACTTCAGAAAGGAAAATACAGCAAGAAGAATTTCCACTTCAGCCAACTCATGCCCTTTTTCTTTCCCTTCCTCATCTTTTATGCTCAACTGAAGATGTAGTCTGTTAACCGTGTACTGGCTTTTCTGTTTCTAGAACTTCTTCTCAACTTCCCTTTTCTGTTAGAATTAACTACTTCTTGTTTTTTTATTGTAACTATATCTTCCATGTCAGCTCTTGTTGTAACACTTGCCATTGTAATAGAGCTTTCAGCCATGGCTGGTTAATGGTGCAAAATCTTAAAATGTTGGTGAAATTATATATTCTAAACTTTTATGTGATCAAACTCTGGACCATCAGGCCAACTGTAAAGTATTAGGGTACTCTTTCTTGCTTTATGCCAAATCCTTTGGAAAACATAAATGAAACAGAAGTTTAATGTCAGGCTTACCAAGTTAAAGGCCACTAATACCTGCAGGGCCTATTGGAAAGTGTTTGTTTAGCATTTTCCATAGATGAGCCATATATTACTTGAGTGAATCTTTAATGTAGAATCAAAGGGGAGGAGAAGGATAACAAAAGGTAATATAAAAGAAGATCAGCAGATCACATAGACTGCATTTTATCTAAAAGGATAACCACCCCCCCCCCCCCCCCCAAATGGCAATCCAGAGGAAGTTAAAACTTAAATCCCTTGTTTGGTTGATGAAAGAGGAGACTGTCAGTTCTAGGGGTTCATGTTTTCAGTTTGGCAAAATTTGAAATCAAAAGATCCCTTATTTTTTGGAATCCCAACCATGGCTGGATTAATAGTTCCCATGTGCAGGATCATCCCCTCATCTTCCTATCTCACAAAACCCACAAAATTGAATACATCATGCCCTTTACTATTCATCTTCTGTATATGCAATCCTCAAAGAGAATTGGATTTTCTGTGCAATATTCTTGGTTATCAATAATTCCAAGTCTGATTGCTCAATACAATCAATTTAATATTGAATTACCATCAACAGACATAAAATTCTATCCAAAGTGTCTCCTAAAAGAAATAGAATAGGCTACATCGAAATTCCTAAAGATGAATTTAGTAATTGCTTAGCCAACTGAATCAATGGCTTCCAAAAAGTAAAATAAACTTCCAATGACTTCCAAATAATCAGTATTATGTGCTTGCTTCCCATTATTCATTACTTTACAATTTTTGTGAACATACATTACTGTTGCTTGCAAGGATATAATTTTTGGCACCAGAACTCATCAAGATAAATTCAATAATTACTCATTAGAATAAATGGAGGCCAAATGGTGAAATAAATTTCCATTGACTTCTAGAATAACCAATACTGACTCTTCTTCATTGCTTTCTTTGTTATCATCTCTTCAATTGTCAATTTCATGTCCCAAACCAAAACTCCAATTACACAACTATTGCTTACAATGAATTGATAATGATGGCTAGCATTTGTTTAGGCATGTTTTCTCTGAGAAAGGAGATTGAAGATGCAGTTCTCCGAGCTGAGACATTGGCTTCAACTGCCTTGAGGTTGAAGAAGCTATGTGCATTAAGCAGCAAGAAATGGTACGGCAATACAACCTGTGGGATGACCTTGCTAAATCAAATGAAGTCCTTGTAAAGCTGGCGGATAGCTATAAAATTGTCGCTGCCCTAAAAGACGTTCAATATAAGGTGATATTCTGTGAATAATGCTTTTGCCCTGCAGAAGTTATATGTACCTTTATGTCTTTCACTTTCTTCATAACTGAATTGTGTGTATACGTACATTAGTGTGTGTGTGTGTGTGCGCTCATGCTGGCACATTTGTAGCAAAATGGTGGTAACGTGATAATGATGGTTGCCTCTTCAATCTATAAACATTTATGTGTATGAGATATATTACATCTAATTCATTATTAACTAATTCTTCTAAAAAAATTTGTGCAATTCAGATGCCCAAACTACTAACTGTTGCTCCTTTATGCAGGCTGAAGAAGCTAAGCTGATTACACAGTTGGCAGAGATGGATGCTATAAATTATGGGCTTTTTAAGCAAGCATACACTGCCTCCCTAGATGTCAGCAAATTCTTAGACAAGTATGAGATGTCCAAACTTCTTAGGGGCCATATGATGTTGAAGGGGCATGCATGATAATCAAAGCAGGGCATTCGGTTTCTACTCTGAGGTTTGTCGATTATGTTTTGCACCTTTGTTTGAATACGATGTATATGAACTATTAGGCTGGGAAGAGGTCTCAGTTACCATCATGATTTTAAATTTTCAAAAATTTCCTTAGGAGTGTCGGTTAATTTGACTCCAAAACTAACTTAAATTTAGTACTCAACCAAAAGCGATGTGAACAGTTGAGACTTGATTTGGATCTTCTTAAGCTTTCCATGATAACAAATCATACATGATGCTTTTAAAAGAGATTATTTTTGTAATTCATCTGTATTTTACCCACACTGCAAGCAGGGAATTTTATGAGTGCACCAACCACCTTTCTTTCTCCTTAAGAAGCCTTTCTTTGCTTTCCGTAATTGTAAAGCATATGCAATGTATAAGGATCTTGCCAATGCAGCCTTAACTCCTTTTGGAGTAATTATCTCTGTGACTTGACTCTACTTTACCCCATTGCACATGGTGAATTTAAAGTACACCAACCACCTTTCTTCTTGAGCTTCCATTAATGTCTAGCCTACTTAATTTTGCATCTGGGGACCAATATATGGATCTTAAGAAAACTATAGGTCTCTGCTTTGTTTCATGTATTGTCTAGCTTATTTGGAACAGAGAACTTAAGTGGATGAATATTTTGCAATGAAAGGGGACATGGCTTTATGATCAGCTCATCCGTGGGTGAATTTTTATTGTGGTTCTTGCATTACTTCTGCAATCTTTAACTGTTGAATTGTGCAGTCCAACTTTATTATAGCTACACAAAATAGAAATTGTTTTCTTATCTAATACTTTTTTCTCTTATATTAACCTCTTGTTTCAAACCTTATACAATAACTTAAGTTGTCTGCATTTGCTTGTAATTTGGAATGTCGAATTTAAAAGGCTTAGTATTAAGCTTTGCTTGCTAATACCTGCCTGCATTAGTGACTTTCAGTTTAAATAACATTTGTATCTTCTTAGTTTTGCCATTTTAACTTTCTATTTTTACTTAGTTTGATGAAACAAATTTTGTTGAGAAGAATATGATATTTATAGCAGGACAGGTTACTGATACAGATTTCTCATATTATTTTTCTCAATTCTAGTTGAGTTTTTGGAGTTTTATTTATTTTATATTTTTAATCATACAGCCACCAAAGTAAATTACATATATCAAAGATCAGAGCTAATCATCATTGCCATAATTGTTCTTACATCCCATTTGCTTTAGTAAAATTCTCTGTGACATTGAAAATTTCTACCTTCCAACAAAGTGTGCTAGCCAAGACAGTCTAACAATATTAATCTATGTATTAATTCCCGCAGACAATATTAATCCAGTATTTTCTGGACAATGTCATATAGTTAGGATGGGACTTTTTGGAGTCAACTTGTTACTTTCACATCTAATTTTCAGTCCAAGTCTTTTCTTTTGATTCTGCTTTATCTTTGCAAAATTTTCAAATCCAGGTATGGGCTGATCAGCTACTGCGGATGTATATGAAATGGACTAAGAAGCAAGGCATTGGAGGAAGGGTAGTTGAGAAATGTATTTCAAAAAATGGTGGCATCAAGTCTGCAATTATCGAAATAGAATCTAGATATGCATATGGCTATCTTGCTGGGGAAAGAGGTGCTCACTACATGATAAGCAGTTCCCGTAACACATCTGCTTCTCTTGAGGTAGGTTTCCTTATTTCCATTGGCCTTACGAGCTTAAACCACACCAAAGAGGCAGTGTCAAAGTCAACACACTGTTCTGTCAAGGCCCAACTTGTCAAAAAGATGGCTGAATGTGTATCATATTTTAGTACTTTCCAAACTAGGCATTAATTAGACATGACAGCTATGGATGTTAACAACAAGATATATGCAAAGATATATATCATAATGTTTGAGTGGGGGAAAAAATTATTTGCAGGCCACTAATTCAAATCAATTTCAATGTTGATTTTCGTCAATTGGCCCAAATTCAGCAATCCAAAGATATAATATTATTTTTATTTTGTTTTCCAAATAGAGATTTTTGAAATAGACATAAGGAAATTTTCAGACTCCTTTACCAAAAGACAAAGTGGGAGGAAATTGGTATATATTACCTTAATAAAATATAAATGTAGTTGCAACATGAAGGGAGATTGATTGCCATGGTAATTATTAGATATATATGTTTTTTGTTTAGTTTTCTCTATTTTGTCTTCTGATTTGATGAAAATTCATGCCCTATTGTCTCTTTCATGTCATATCTATGTCAGAGTTTCACACTTCTGCTCTCCCTCACTTAGGATTTGACATCAGATGCAAACTTGTGTTTGGAGGCCAGCTCATTAGTCAAATCTGTTGCTTAGAAGGTGTTTGGCTTGGCTGAATTAAAAAACTTTAAAAGCAGTAGCATGCTTACAAGCATGAGGGTGTTGATTTCGAAAAAAAGTAAGCAGTTGTCTGTTTGGGCAGACATGGGTATTGCAAAAAATAAGCACTAAATGCAACATTTAGAATTTATAATGATGGATCAGTATGTAAAGGTAATTTGTGATGATGTGCTAATAAGCCAAATTGATCCAAAATAACTCAATTACCTTATGAACAGGGTCTATCTTGATCTTCACTTTCTAATATCAGTAAATATTTCTTGATCCTGTCCAAACAAAGTCTGCTTCATCCTTCAATTTCCAGTAAGCAAAGCTAATATAGTGCATCTTTTATGATCATGTCTATTGTCATGGGCTAACTTTTCTCAAAATCCTGAACCTGAAAGGATGCACACACTAAAATTTTTGGGAGCAACCTAACTTACATGTGTTTGATAAGAATTACTAGTTTTATTTAGCGTTTACAGTGTTTGTTTGGTGTGTTATGTTGAATTAGGCTGCCTTCTGTAAGATCTTTGGATATAAGTGGATCAAGCTATGTGTCCTGTTCAAATAATGCAATTTACTCAAGGGAAAAAAAATCCAAATGGGCCACCTGAAACAATGATGAAATGTGACTTATCCCGAAACTTCCTAAACCTTTTAATCCATGTTACTCATATAACCAGGTCTACTAGCTATTTAGAATAGGTCTGCTTGTAAAACTCATAACACTCCCAGTCTTAAGCTAAGTCATAACTCTCCCAGTCTTAAGCTCTAGGCCATAGCTCCTTTTTCCTGAGCCATGAGATGAGCTATTTGTGCATGTAAGGTTAGCTACGAGAATAAGCTAATGCAACAAAAATCATTGGTATGTCTTCTTGGTGAGTTGTTTTAACAGTATTCCTGCTGGATGTCCTTTAGCAATGTCACAACTCTTTGTAGCCTGATGAATGGTAGCTTTTGTGTGTGTGTGTGTGGTACAAGCAATCATGAGTGATCTGTAAATGATTTAATGGTCTTGGTCTATGCTTCTCCTAATTGCCACAAGTCCTTTACATTGTTGCTTGTAGGGATTTAATTTAATGATACATCTGAAATAATTATGAAAAATGCATGATAGCTTGCTGGGTTAACCAATTTTTTTCCTCCAGGTATCCAAATCCTGTTATCCTTTAAAGCTGTTCCTGCTAAACTATTCATGTTGGAATATTTCTTGTATAATCCTCCTGTCCTTTTTGATATCCTGCAGCTAGCATGGCTAGTGTGGATGTTATTCCTCTCTTCCTGGAAACAGCTCCTGACCTACTAATTGATGATGAGGACTTGTTGGTCTCTTTGCCATCTTATAAAGAAGAGCAGGGTCAGACCCGATCCACAGTTAGTATTCAGCATATTCCTACTGGATTGAAAGTACAATCTTCAGGTGAAATTGAATCTTTTGTTTGTCATCATTAGTTACTATAACGTTACACGCTTTGCTTATATATTTACAAGATACTCTTTTGAGAGAGAGAGAGAGAGATGTCCATAATAATAATTCTTATTCATAGACAAAGGTAAACCCTCTGTATGGGTGCAGCTGAGGAAGATGTGATTGCAAAATTTTCGATTAAGAAAGACTAAATAGTTGAGTATAGGAGTGCTTTATAACCTGAGAAATGATATTGGTTGAGTTTACCATATATTTATTTTTGGTCATTAAATTTTACCATATATTTATTTTTGGTCTTTATATTTTACTTTCAAGAGAGATAAGAAATGTGTTAGAAGCAACTGGTTTAGAAGTTTTATGTCCTTGCAGTCTTTCCCTTATAGACCTTAAGGCATCATTTTTTGGAGGATTAGAAATTCTGGGGATTATTAATGAAGATTTAGGAGACTGAAAGTGATAGGATTAACTAGCTGATCCGATGGGATAAAAGGAATGAATGGATATGGTGGGAGTATATGTGTGATTTTTACTGTGTTTCTTTTGGGATTAAATTGGATAGGATGTAAATTAATAAGGTGGGATGCACACACTAAGGACCATTGGATCAAAGATGGTGCTCATTTGGGGTTTAATAATCCACTCTAGGGTGGAAGGCCACATCCCCATTTGGGATTAAGAATCTCTCCCATGTAATCCTTGGATCAAAAAGGAAAAGAAAAACATGACAAACTTGGGATTGTTAGTTCCCTGGATTAAAAATCATGCCTTTGACTGTGCTAATTGCAGTATATGCCCCTCCCAAGTCCATGAAACAAAAATACTTTAGAATATTCATAACAAGGCATGGCATACCTCAACTGTTGGCTTTCTGAGTTTTCTTGTACCATGCGATTGCCCAGAACACACCCCCCCCCCCCCCCCCCCGCCCCAAAAAGAAGACGAAGAAGAAGAAGCTTGTGCACACAGAATGTCTGGATACCTAGAAGCTGGAATAAGTATCAGGATATAATTATTTGCAATGGTCCATGGTGATGAAAAAGGTGATAAAAAAGGTTCTCAAGTCCAAAGTCATTCTGTTTGCTTTTCTGCTCAAAGATTCTGGTGGTAACTTTGATGAAGAAAATGAATTTCCTTTCCTTGTAGTTGGAACTGATATACTTTTGCTGGTCCCAAGGACGTAATGACTGATTTTTCTGTCTTTGGACGCTGTTCTACTTGCATTTAATTCCTTGTAGTTCCCCTTCACTTCTTCTTCTTCATAAGAAGTTTCATATACTATTTCTCCTGGTTTCATTGATTATTTTTCTCAACGGTAAGAAACAAAATGTGCTTTGTAGGAGAAAGAAGCCACTTCGCAAATAAGATCAAGACCCTCAATAGGTTGAAGGCTAAACTGCTGGTTGTTATGAGGGATCAAGGAAGTTCTACTATAAGGAGTATTAAGAAGAACCTAATCGTCTATCCATGGCATCAACAAACTAGGAGGTACATGTTTCACCTTGTGAACTTGTACAAGATTTGAAAACTGCCTCCAACTGCCTGACCTAAAGTCAATTTTAGATGGAAATATTGAACCTCTAATTGCTGCTATTATTAATAGCAGGCAAGCATCTGATGTGGTTTGAAACAGTCATGTACATCCTCTTACTGATCATAGCTTCTGATTGTTCTTCCTTGTAAATTGTAATTCTAAAACCCAAATTAAATCAGGAGCTTGTTTTGCGATTATTTATGCTTGGTTTCTAACATAAACCAGTGACATTTTGCAGTGAGTTTGTCCTTTAGGCCCATGCTGGCTTGGCTTTGATGCTATGTTTGGATTATTGATTTGACAAAAGAAGAGGAAAGGAAAACAGGGAACTTACAAATTGTAGTAGAGCCCCGGAATTTATGGTCCTTTGTAGATATGAAAAAGAAAATGTTTTGAATATATATTTAGTAGTATTGGAAAATATTTTTTCACAATAAATGACGTAAATATACATAATTGAAAGGGAAAACCTAACATATAAGTTCCCTTGTCTTCCTTTCTTTTCTTTAACCAATCCATGACAAAAACTTACTATAATTAAGGATATCAGAGCTGGTCATTTCCGCAGAGCCCCCTGGTGGAAGGTTTTCTGTCTAGTAATCATCCGGAGGGGGAACATTTATATCAGCTGAAATCTTGGATGGGTCTCTCCCCTTGAGTACTGAAAATTGGTGTCTTTGTCTCGTATTTGTGTTCAAATTTGGCACTAACTTGTATCTATATGAAATTAATTTAAAATTTAATAAAATTATAAACAATTTTTTTTTTTAAAAATAAAATCCATTGGGTTGAATTCATAGTCAATGAATTTTTATCTGCTTGTATATGTGTCTTGCAGTAAAGTTTGTGTCTGTGTCAATAATATTTAGCTAAACAAGCAAATCGAAATATGAAGAGGGTAAAGTCTCATGTTTTCATTCCACTAAGTAGAAATTTGAACAGGAATAATAACATTAACATTATAATTTAGTTGTAAATAGTTAGTGTGTTTGTTTAAACTTTTTTCTTACCAAAAAAAGTAGTTTTTTTTTAAAAAAAAGTGTTTCTGAAATATTTAGAGTGTTTGATAAATTTTTAAAAAGTAATTTTTTGAAAAAAACTAAATTTTTAATTGTTTTAGAATTAGTATGGAGTAATTTTTGAAAAAAAATATTTCAAAAAAAAAATCACTTTTGAAAAAATTTTATCCAAACTCAATCTTAAGGGGAGAAAAAGGGTCAAATCAAATAATAGAAAGCTTAATTTATATGTTTAGAATTGTTGTTCACTTACTAATAGATTTGTACTAAGTATAAATTTATTAGTCTTAAGTGTAATTCCTAAATGTTGGTAATTAGACTGCTTGATGCTAATTTGCGTACTTAGATTTTTAAATTTAATGCTTAAGTAATCAATTTCTAATTAATTTTGAATATTAAGAGGAATTATTGGCAAACTTATTGAGTTTGAAATTATAATTTTGCAAATATTTTAGTTAGCAAAAATTCCGACCATTTGTTAAAATCAAACAAACAAATTGCATTGTTTCACATCGTATTAAAATAGAAAGAAAGTGGTGCTTGTTTAAGAAGCCCTCGGGGGTGGGCCAAGGGCAGCCCAGTCCACCCATGCAATTGTTTCGATATCTTTTGGAGGTATTTTATTGTCAGGGAATTTTCTTATTATTATTGTGGTGAGGTTGAGTCATACCAAAAATAAAAAATAAAAATTTAAACTCACTAAAATGCTCATAAAGAATTAAAAAGCTAAATTAGATCTTTGCAAATTTATAACTTATTTTATTTTTGTTGTTCTATATAATTAAATAATAAAATTTAATTTGATTTAATTTCAAAAGAAAGCATAGTAATTGAAGCAAGTGACTCTTTAATTCACAATTTGGGATTGGGATTAGAATAGGGTAAAGCATTCAAAAATTTTGCTTACAAAGAAGATTGCATATCATAAACAGAAAAGATTGCCATGGTTAAATAAAGAAGAATGTATATTATTAATACAGAATATAGAAGATAGCATATCGTAGATGGAAAAAAATCACATATCATTAGACGAAATAGGCAACAAAGTTAACAAAGCATTGTAAACATTGTCCCACGGGCTTTGTAGTGATAAACAATGGTGACTTTAATGATACAAGCAACACATTTCTATCACTAAAAATAGGGAATGGCAAAAATAGAAAATTGAGATTTTACCTATGAAAAAAGGGTTGAAAAATAGTTTGGGCAGCTTATAAGGATGGCATGCCTAATTTGCCCCTACCCATGCCAATATATTTACATAATTATGTGTTTGAAAGAACTTGTATTTAATACCAGAATAATATATATTATAGAGGGCCAAACAAATGAGTAAAAGATATATAAGAAATGTTATTATGCTATTATATTTGTTGTATATTTTATTATCTATAATATATTCAAATTTTTTACATATCATAATTAACTATTTCATAATTTTTCTAAATAATTTAAGATGACTTTTACATAATATATATATAATATTCATATTTAATAAGTATTAACTAATGTAATTTTTTTCTCTATATTTTACTATAGAATGTTGAAAATAGATCAAATATGAAATTTGAGATTGTTATTGAATTAGATTTTTGAGACCTGCATAAATTCTAAGATATTTTGGTTATTTGATTTACTTAGACAAAAGTTATGATCACAAAATAGATAAACATTAATCACTCATGATTAATAACTAAGTATACAGACTCAACAAACTTTTGGACTTCTAAAATTTTTCCATTGTTTAGTAGAAAAATATTAAAAAATTATAAAAATCTATAATCTCTTTTATACGTGTCACTTTTTGTTTTTTAAATACCATATATTTTACTTTATACTAAATTTTGATTTAATAAATTAATAATTTTAATAACTATTAAATTAATATTAAATATTAATTTTGGTGCTAATATAATAAATTTTGTAAATTTTAATTTAATAATTTCAAGTCTAACATTAATAAAAGATTTAACTTGGAATAAAGCAATTATGTACATCTAACATGGGAAGCCAAATCAGAAAAAAAAAAAAGAAAAGAAAAAAAAGAAGAAGAATCTTCCTTGACCAGTGATAATAAAAAGTGGGGCCAATAGAACCCTAATCTCGACAAAATATTTTTTATATTAGCATGTCATAAAATATTAGCCGTTACTCCAACCACTATGCAAAGAGGCAGCCAGAGCCAGACATAGATACGTGTAAGGAGAGAATTGCGGAGGACGAAGACGGATTGCCCTCTGCAAGAGAAGCAAACCAATAACTATTATGGCGTATCGGCGAAGACCCATTCTCACGCAACAACAAAGTAAGTGCCCAAATTTTAGGAACCCAGATTCTTCTAAAAGTAGTATGTTTAATGCTATCTATTTTCGCTTCCTTTTTTCAATTGTTCTTTTATTGTATGATTTGATGACTTTTAGCCCTCCATAGTGAACTGCTTTGCTAAGAGTTTGGACTCTGTTTTAGTCCAAGTATAACTCTTGCTTTTCAGAAATAACCCATAAATTCATTTTAATGTTACAGTAAATTATGGTTGAACTAGCAATAGTTAGAGCTCGTAATGCATTATTTTCGTAGAATTTTCTTTTATTGTTCTTATAGGTTCGGATTAGTTATAGGCAATATCGTCTTGAGGAGTTGAATACAATCATATAATAAGTTGAATAGTCTTCAAAACTTCTAGTTAGTTATTGAATCGCTAAAATGGAGGCTAATTTTTTGTTAATAAGGAAGTCAAAAAATAGAGGCTAATTTATAGTTTATTTGTTTGTTTGGAAAACTTATATGAGACAGTTGAATTAACTACCATAACTTACAAGGTCTGACCAACTGCTTATCAATGTTACTCTGACGATCAACCTTATTATGCGGTGCTTTTTTCTGTATCTGTATTTGCTGCCAGTCTTTTTTAAAGTATAAATGAAATCTTCTTGATAGATGTAAAACTATTTTTTGCATGAATTTATATGAAAGATGATTTTCTTTCCGGGCTTTCAAATGGGGTCTTCTTAAGTACTGTGATCCGCACAAGGCCATTCACATTTCCACTCTATAAGCAACAATGGTAGCGGATGGCAAAATATCTCTTGCAAGAATTTATAATTTAAACACCTATTTGGGCATTATACTGAACTTTTAGTATTTGGGAAATTGAACTTTACCAATCTTACTAGACCTGTCTCTGTCTCTCAATTTACCTGTTTTGTCATGAGTTCCTTTGAACTTTCAATCTTGTATATAAATTACACAAGTGGAATCATTTATCTTACATGAAAGGGGCATGTGAGTTTGAAGAAAAAGGGACAGTTATGCCACTGATGTATATTAATATATATCTTCATTTTCTTATAACTATTACTTCTATAAAACGCATAAAATGACCAAAAGAAACATAGATACAAAAACTAATCAGACCATTTCATATTGTTCGCCATTAATTAGAAACAATTGTTCATAACAACAATTTCGTTCTTTCTCACCCAAATATTTACATTTCTAGTTTGTCTTTATTCTGTAGAGTTTAGATTCATTGTGTCACTTCCTTGAACACTACATGCTTTAGACACAATCATCAACATGGAATTTCTGAAACTATGGTTTTCAAATATTATTACACTGATATGAGGCAAGCATTGTATAATGCTAAGGCTGCTTCTTTTAGACCAGGTCACAGATTTGAATCATGGAAATGACATATCTGAAAGTAAGGAAAGGATCACTGATTTGTAAACTGAATGAGCTTGCTTCTATCCTCTCAAAGTGGGAGCCTATGATGGCTGATTCCGTCACGAGGCAAGCACATGGCAAAAGAAATATGAGGTCTGTTAATTTAATCATTATGTTTGTAATTATGGCATCACATAAATGCCAAGCAAAAATTATTATATAATAACTAATAGACCCTAGCATCTATAACATAACCGCCACTTAAGTCTTAACAACTCTCATATACATAACAAGGTTCCAACTTTT